ATTATTGTCAACGCATACTTCCAGAATGTATTTTTTTCTTCTTACAACTTCAGTATTAATTATTTAAGTCAAACCCTTTTGTCTGTTAGCAAAATATCCAAGGAATGGTAAATGGACTGTACTTATACAGCGTCTTTCTATCTTATCAATGTACTCAAAGCTCTTTACAACACAATCTGTGCCCTTATTTACCCGTTCATACAGCACTCTACTGGATCTATACAGAGAATAATCAGAGCTTTATCACATTCATACACCAATGGGACACACATAGAAGGCAATGGGGGTTCAGTGTCTTGCCCAGGGACACTTCAGCATACGACTGCTGGTGGAATCGAACCCTCAACACTCCTATTGGAGGACGACTGTTCTAACCACTCAGCCACAGCCGCCCCAGAAATGAATCACTGAATGATTTTTACAGAAACTCTTGGAAAGAAATTCTTGTCTGTAGATCCATTCATCATCTTTACCCACTTCTTCTTTTCTGGGTCGAGGGGGTTCAATAGTGCACATGTCCAGTAGTCGCTGTGCCAGAGACGAAGGACACCCTGGACAGGTCGCCAGTCCATCACAGGGACACAGAGACAAACAAGACAAACATTCACACCTACGGACAGTTTAGAGTTACCAAATAACCCAACATGCAGGTCTTTGGTCTGTAGGAAGTAGCAAGAGGAAACCCACTAAGAACAGAGAGAACATAAGTGCCAACTTGAAAGGTCGGATGAGTCAGCCCAATTCAAGATGGCTGCCCGAGTTACTCAGCTGTAGTCTGCAGAAAAAAATACAATGGTCCCTCGACTATTGTTGGGGTTACGTTCCACCCACCGAACACTATATTTATTTTAGTATATATATGTAATGATATATATTTTAAGGCTTTATAAACCCTTCCCACACTCTTGCAATGTTCAGGTTTCTCTTGTAAACGAGTCCCCGAGCCCCCCCCCCCAGGTTGATGTGTGCATGGATAATTGAGCTTCTGGAAGTTTCAGGATTATTTACAACTTTCCTGCCAGTTCTGTGAGTTTAATAGAGAGCATAGATTTGCGTTGCCAAACTTTCCCTCTATTTTGTCAGAAAGCAGTTTCCAGAAGCACTATTGGCTTCTTGGTAGTGTAGTTCTTTGACTGGCGTTGCAGTGTAGGCTTATTGAAAGAAAACTACAAAATGGTGGTGCCCATCCTAATTATTTATTCATTTTTCGTTAATTTTTTTTATCCCATACCGTCCCAATCACATGAGTAAGATTAAAGTTGACAATCGTTGAAAAACCGGGAAAGAGCGAGTTCGCAAAAGTCAAACCACGAAGTATGGAGGGACTACTGTAATTCGTTTCAGTTCAGATTCAATTCAGTTTATTTATAAAGCACCAAGTCACAAAAGAAGTTGCCTCAGGGCACTGAACAGAAGCATTCACATACATAAAAAAACAATGAATACAAGTTATTTATCTAAGGAAGCCAGAAGATTGGGTTGAATCTTCACTTCGATGCAGTCGCTCATAAATGTATAAATACATAAATAATAGATAAAATAAAATATAAAAATCTCAGTTAATTCTGCAGCTACTGAGTTCAATTAGGGTGTGGTTGCAGCTGGAAGTCAACCACAACACATACTCTTAGAGCAACTACATCTAGGAAGATATTGCATTTTTGCGCTATGGGTCAAACTCGTACTGGTACATCCGGTAATTTTTAAGGTTTTACCAAAACTGTCCAGATGACCTGACTGAAAATTGTTGGATTGTATACCTGAATTATTGAGCATGGACTTTGTTGGTTTTACCAAAATATTCATTTCTCAACACAAGATGGTCTTAGTCTAAAACACACATAAATGGTGGTGGAGCATACTAAGACTAGGGCATATTAGATATTTTATTGTTTTAAGATATTGTTCCTTTATTTGCATTGGGATCGTTCCAGAAGTGAAAACCATCGGTAATTTAAAACCTCAGACTGTTTGTGCCACAGTTTTTAAAAGCCTGCACTCTTGATCCAGGAAGCAACTTACTTTAGGCAACTGACTGGAACAAGTTTTGCTAGTCGTCACTAATTACATGCTAATACCAAGTAACTGAACAGGCATATGCTTTACGGTTTTATGACAACTCCCAACACAGAACGTTTTGTTGAAATCTCACCCTAGACATGTTTTTTGGTAAATACAGTATTTTCTCAGGACTGTTATGTCATTTTAACAGTACAAGGTTATTTGCCAACTCTATTTGTACCACAAAAGCTACACTGATGTGCTGAACAGCAAAAGCTATACAAAAACATCTAATCTCAAACGGCGATACTAAGACTAAGGAGGGTAAACTAAAAAAGCAGGAAAACATTCCATAAAACACCCAGCCAAAAACAGTTTACATCAAGCTGCCGATCTCGACTCAAGTGGAATGCCGGGGAGCAGAAATGGGTTTTTAATAGCGCCAAAAACTTTTCTGAACTCCGAGCTGGTCTTATAAGAAAAGGCAAATTATTCTGCAGAAGCAGCAGCTGAAAAAGGTGCAATCAGCGCATCTTTCTTCTTCTAACTGGCCTAGATCTTAAAAACAGCTGATAAGATTTACAGTTATTATTCTTAGTTAGCCTTGTTTGTTTATGCATATCTCTATTTTAAAATTATCTTGTTACTATTTCTTCTTTTTCCCTTTCATTCTTTTAATTTCTACTTTCTTTTATTGTTGTTGTTTTAATCACTTGTTTAGATAATTAACAATACAACATATTAATAAATGAAATGATTCCATGACTTTTGCCAAGGGATGGAGTTAAGAGCCCACATAAACTTTCATGTTTCAAAATTACTGGTGACTTATAGAAAAGACAGTAAACCCTAAAATAATTGTGCAGTGCCTTACATTTCAGTAGCCTAAAAAGGTACATTCAAATCAGATGCAAAATCGGAGGCAATGTGTTCAACATAATGGTACTTCCTCTAGTTATGTAACAGTCAACAATGGTGTGTGTGGGGGGGGGGTGTTTAGAGGGTGGAGTCTGTCTTTCCCCATCGCTATAGTGGGAGCTTCAGTGAGGTGGATACCAGAGTGAGCAGCATGGATTTTTTATTTTAAATAATCAAGCACGACCCAAACCAAGCCTGGATATTTCTCAAACAGGGAAATGGCCAGTCCGTCCCCGGGTGCTGATTGGCTCAGTAACCCTAGCATCCTTTTGTCTGCTCTCTTTGGCTGTTCACTTTTAGATCATTTAGAGAGTTAGAACATTTTGCAAGAGTGTGGGATAGGTTTAAAGCCCTATCTATCTATCTATCTATCTATCTATCTATCTATCTATCTATCTATCTATCTATCTATCTATCTATCTATCTATCTATCTGCATGTATATATAATACAAAAATAAATATAACGTCTCTACTTTGTGGATTTTCATATATCGCAGGGGTGTCTGGAATGCAACCCCCATGATGAGAGACTACTTCGTGGTTTGTTTTTCACGGACTCGTTCTATCGCAGTTTTTTCGGAGAAAGATTGGACATGATACACAATTGGGTGATGGATGGATGAGCAGCACGATCGGCATGGAAATTTTATTTAAAATAAATTATTTTAAATTATTTAGCACCTGCTGCACCTGTGTGCATCCCACAGCTGCAGGAGAAGCTTCCTCTTGCAGCATGTCAGATCTCTGCTCTGCGGTAGAGAAGTGGGCGTGGCCAAGAGCACTGGCAGGTGGCAGAGAGCAGCCAGAGGCAGAGAGCTGAGATTGTGACGTTGTGCTCTTTTAGAACATTTAGAGTTTAGAAAATTGTTAGGGACATTGCAATAGTGTGGAAAGGGTTTTAAAAGCCTTAATATATAGGCTACCTGTATATCCATCCATTCATCCATTATTTTACCCACTTCTTCCTTTTTCGGGTCGCGGGGGTCACTGGTGCCCATGTCCAGCCATCAATGTGCGAGAGGCGGGGTACACCCTTAACAGGTCACAAGTCCATCACAGGAACTGTATACCTGTATATAAATAATAAAACAAACTACTTCTTACTACTACAGTAAATACTAAAATAACCACTACTAAACTACTTGTGTACATAATTTCATTCCATCTCATGTGGTACATGAGATGGTAATGGTAATAAAGTTTACTTGAACTTGGACTACTGTATTCCTACTTCACGGTTTTTCACTTATCACGCGGGGGGTGGTTGTGGTTCCAAATCCCCGCGATAAACGAGGGACTACTGTACTCCTTTAGGAGCTTTACATGAGACAGCAGATGGACTGAAAGCTGAGTTTCTTTTAGCAACGCTAACTTGGAAGTTCAGATTCAGACATAAAGTTCAGACTCTGGTACTTTAAGGAAAAAAAAAATCAAATACAGTGGAGAATGTAGTAACAGGCTTTTAAATCTATGCTTTTCAAAGGTCCCGTCATTATAATCCACTCAGGTACCTTTCATGCACTCCAACACTCAACTGTACAGTGTGCAATTTTCCATTACCTCCTTTTCCTGTTTTTTTCTATTAACATTATCCGAGAAGTTTAATAAATGTTTATTTCTCTGTATTACCAACATGTGTTTTTATGTTAATCTGTGGGAACTGCTCCAAACAAACTACTTCAATGAAGAATATTAGCACAAAACACTCTTGACCTTCTATGGTAGTTGTTAAAGGTTATTAGTAACAGTATCACATTGAACAGTGCACACTGTGTTCCTCATCTTGGACTTTTTTGTGTGTTGTTGTTGTTGTTATCTTGCAGTGTGAGATATAGCAAGAGCCACTATGTCTCACCACGGCCATGTCACTCTGTCCTCACAGCCTTGCCTCTGTCTAATTTCTCTCTTTAGGTCTTTTAGAATGCTGCCTTAGTGTGGCGTGGAGTAGCCATGCTTATAGTTGGGAGCCCCTCCACACTTTTCTGCCTGTCATTTTCCTCTCCTGTTCTCAACATGTTTGAAAAATCAAGTGCTGTTAAAACTAAAAATAGTGTGCATATTCTATCCATTCGCTCCACAGGCCATCACAGCTATCTCTGTGCCGGGCGAAATGACTGCATTGTGGACAAAATTCGGAGGAAAAATTGCCCTGCCTGTCGCCTCCGAAAATGCTACCAAGCAGGAATGATGCTAGGAGGTACTATTTTTTAGTTTTTTTTTTTTTTTTGTAAGAACCAAGCTACAGTGCTAATTTTGTGATTTGTCACATAGAACCAAGTAACACAAACAAATCATTCTTCCCACCCCAGAAAATGTTTGAAGAGCTTTGATAAAAACTATAAAACAAGACTGATTTGCAATCAAGACTCCTAAATGTCAATCAAGTGAAACGCCTCTTCCTTTGGTCTAAAACATTTTTTTGTGTGTGTGTCACAGGAAGGAAGCTGAAGCGCTTTGGAGCCTTGAAGGCCTTCGGGCTGGCCCCGTCCCTGATGTTCCAGTCCCATTTGGCCATGTCCAGTGACAGTCAGGCCTTGACCTCCATGGCTTGTGTACCAGGCATCCATGAGATGCAGCTCTCCCAGCAAATAATTAGCATTCTAGAAAACATCGAACCGGAGATTGTGTACTCTGGCTACAGCACCTCCCAGCCTGACGTTCCCCATCTTCTGCTGAATAGTCTCAACAGGCTGTGTGAAAAACAGCTGCTGTGGATTGTAAAGTGGTCCAAGTCCCTGCCAGGTAACAACCCCATGCATCTCAGGTTTACCACATTTGTTGCTATGGGGATCCACTGGGAGGCCTCACCAAGTGTCTCAGCCTTAAGTAACTCCTGTTAGTCACAGGACAGATTTTCAAAACCCTAATCTAAAAGTGTGGCAGGAAAATTACGAGGGAAATGACAGAAAAACCAAAGTGTTACAACAAAGGTTGCGTTGACCAAGTACAAAAGAAAGAAGCTGGCAAAAAGCAATGCTTTGAAATACTCTCACCAACATGGGGTTATACTTCTTTTCTTAGGGTTTCGTAATCTTCACATCAACGATCAGATGACCCTGATCCAGTACTCCTGGATGAACTTGATGGTGTTCTCTCTTGGCTGGCGCTCGTTTCAGAACGTCACAAGTGAATATTTATACTTCGCACCTGATCTGATTCTCAGTCAGTAAGTACGACTTTTTATAATAATAAATAAAAGAGATTATTTTGCGTTCATTAACACACGACCTCCATGTTTTATCCGTCAGGGAACAAATGAGGAGATCTCCCATATATGACCTCTGTCTGGCCATACAGTTTATCCCCCAGGAGTTTGCAAATCTGCAAGTGACCCGTGAGGAGTTTCTTTGCATGAAAGCCATAATACTACTCAACACAGGTAAAAGTCACCAATTTGCATCCATTTGATTTTATTACTTCTAAACCAACCAGTCGTGGTACAGTGTTGCAAACAGAAAGGTGACCCTTTGATGACCAACAACCGCAAAGGAGTGCGGAACAAGAGTAGACCTTGAAAAGATTCATGTAGCAACTCCTTTCAAGTTATTTTTCTACTTGAGCTGAAAAACATGTTTTTTCAATAGTTTTAAATAGTAGCATGTTCCTTTTAAGTAGTTGTTGACAAAAAGAGTTACATAAGTGCCAAAATGTTTTTTTTTTCTTTCTTAACAGAATAATACATGGCTACGTCCAGGGTTTAATTTGTAAACTGATTAATGCCAGAATGCAAATATCAGTCAGGTTGGTGGTGGAGGAGGGGGAGTGTTCTGGGGGTCCTCACCCAGAAACTTCTGAATAAAGTAGATGCGATTTCCTGAATTTTGGTGTATTTTAATGGGTTGTTAAACAGCTAATTTTACCTACATTTGTAAACATTCTGCTTCGTCAAGCATCTTATGCCGCCTCCCACCCCCTTAGTTGACGGTTCTAAGCCCGCCTCCTCTGTCTGTTTATGGCGGCTGCCTGCGGGCTCCTGCTTGCGTACGACTGCCTGGTTAGCCTAGCACTCACCCCCACCACTCTTTTAGGGGTGGAGATTTTTTTAAGGGTAGAAGCAGAAATGCTACTTGAAGAGGCAGATCGTAAGTGGCTGTTGTGTTTAAAATGAGTGTTTATGTAATCATTTTGTTTGCATAGCCAATTAAAGTTTTATTTGTTCAAGGCAGTAATATTTGTTCACAACTTTATTATTAGTAAGCCTCAGAGTTACTGGATCCAAGCAAACAGTTACCGGAATGCACCCTACCAAAATAGACGTTCCCGGATCTGATTAAGCACGGGCTACGTCTGAACGTGCCTGATGTTTGGAGGAATTTTTCATTTGTAATTGGTCCCATCTGCTCTCAGTGCCACTTGAAGGACTCAAAAGTCAGGCGGCGTTTGAGGAGATGAGGCAAAACTACATACGAGAGCTTTCCAGGGCTATCCACATGAAGGAGAAGAGTGTGGTGGCCAGCTCCCAGCGATTCTATCACCTCACCAAACTGATGGACGCCATTCACGATGTAGGCTCACAGAGAAGAGTGAACGAGTGTCCACGTGTGTTTAATGAGCGCCAACACTGACATGTCATATTTCTCCTTTGACAGATAGTGAAAAAGGTCAACCTGTTCTGTCTGAGCACTTTCATCCAGGCGGATGCCCTGAAGGTGGAGTTTCCAGAGATGATGTCAGAGGTCATTGCCTCCCAGCTTCCTAAGGTGTTGGCAGGCATGGTGAAGCCTCTGTTGTTCCACACCAAGTGAAGACTCCAGCACCGACAGCAAAGCTCTGCCACTGGATCCCTCCCTGCAGGATACTGGAGTCCTCACGAACGTAGTGAGACGTCTAATCTCTGCTAAACGCCTCATGGTTCTCAGGGTGGAGCAGAATAAACACATTTCTTTTCTTTCTACAACGTTTAGGAGAGACATATTGCAAATATGAAAAATTCAGAGGCATCAATGGAAAACAGCTCCTCTGTATTCTTTTTGTGTATCAAACATTTGCCACAGTGCAACTTGTGTACAGATTAGTAGCAGAACGAGTAAAAACATCAGAGATCCGGATATTTTTGTACTGGAGCTTCAGAAATAGAAAAAAAAAACAAACAAACCCTAAAATCAAAGAAATTTAGTGATGCAGATATGAAAGGTATATAATTTACTTGAGATAAATGTATTTATAGTCTCAACAGATAAACTCCTCTTCAGAAAGGAAATACTGGTTAGATATCTACAGATGCAAATGAACGTTTGTACTCTTTTCATTATAAAAGAAAAACCCACAATGATCACTGAAATAACTTGACAAATCAAATGTTGCTTCGGAGTTGTGGTTCAAGAGGAATATTAAAACAAACTAAACAGACTGATACAAAATAATGGTACCCGTCGCTTAATATTTTACAAGCTTTCGAGGCAATCACCGCAATTAAGCGACTTCCATAGCTGTCTGAGACTTCTGCACCTGTCGACAGCTATTTTGGCTTATTTCTCATGAATAAACCGCTTCAGAAGGACGCCTTCCACAGAAGAAACATGTATTTACAACAGTGTCAGCAATCTGGGAAAAAAAAAAAAAAAGATTTAAATCTTGATATTGGAGAACGTGGTGCATGTTGACGAAATGCATTTATAAATAGGCATTTTGGCAGTTTCCAGTTTTAACAGCTCTGTTATCTTCTGGCTCGAATAGTGACCGATGGTGGGATCCAACACTGATAAACCTGGACCTTGGAATTCACCTCTAATCTCTTTGGAGGTTGCTCATGGGATCTTTGGTTACCATTTGTATCATCTGTTCCGTCAGTTGGTCAATATTTTTAGTTTTGTGGCCGCATCCCAGGAGATTGGCTTCAGTCCCGCGGAGCTAAAACCTCTGAATAATCTGTGCAGCTGTCATCACAGGAACACCACGCTGCTTGGAGATGGTCTTACAGCCTTTACCTTCAACGTGCTTGTCAATAATTTTTTTTCTAAGCTCCTGAGACAGCTTTGTCCTTAGCTTTTCGTGGTCCATGTGTAGTGTGGTACACACCACGATACCAAGCAGCCCTGTGACTACTTTTCACCTTTTAAATAAGCAGACTGACTCATTACAAGACTGAAGACACATGTGATGTAAATTGCAAGGCAACCCTTAGTTTAACATGTCACTATGGTCAGATTATGTTTCTAGACGTACCACACTTTTTGTCAACATCAGTTCTGTTACTTGTTTTTTTCTTATTAATCCTGCTGAACCAAAATCCAAAGGCAATGGCCGATTGTTACCCTATAATTTTGACATTTGTAAGTCGTTTCTGTTCAGTAACACTGTACAAACAAATGTATCTGCATCTGTATATTGAAATAATATTTACAACATACAAGCTGAATAAAACTTGACTGTTGATACGATGTTAAGGAAAAATGATTAAAGCAGGGCTATTCAACGAAACTGCTCAGGGGGCCACAATTACTGAAAGCAAAGAGCTCAGGGGCCGGACATCCAGCGGTTATTTTTGTTTTATGGTTCAAAATCTAGTTTTATTTAAAAATGAACCCATTGGTGGGCCGAACTGAGTTCACCCGTGGGCCTGATTTGGCCCCCGGGCCGCCAGTTGAATAGCCCTGAAACGCATCTCACCAAGACCATAGATTGTTCTAAATGTTTTATATTTTCAAAACAGAGCATATTTTATATATTTTAATCTGAATTAGTTTAAACAGTGACAAATGTTGAGATGTATGTGACCGGTTTTATTCATGTCAGTGATATACATGGAAAAAAGAAATCTCTTGCATCCTTCACGGTAGAGATAAGAAATCACTTAAATCTCGCCTCATAATGCCAGTTTTCCTCCATATCCTTGCACCAGATTGCTCTTAAGGTGGTTGATAAGATATTTGAGTTATTCAGCTGATAAGTAGTAAAGATAAAATTAAATTAAAACAAGCCTTGGTTCGGTTATTTTCAAGAAAACGATCGAATCCCTTAAATTACAAGAACTTTACGTTTGGCCATACGAACAGTGAGTAACCCCAAATTATCAGTCACACAAATAAACGTAGTGGACACGTTTAAAGATTCACTCTGTTTATTAGTTGATTCGTTTACATAAAGATACAGCAGATGTTTGGCAAGTTACAGACCGTATGAAAAAATGTGCAGCGTTGTACATATTCAGGATGTGATTATCGTTTCCGTGGCACGCCACTTGGAACTGGTTTACTGTAAGGGAGTAGTGGTCCAGCGTCAGCGTTCAAGGCCACCTCGCATTCTTCAAAATGTAAATGGAAAAGAACACCATGATCTTGGCAAGAGTGAGATGTCAAATCCACTCCCAAATACAGTTTGGGCAAACCAGAGAACATTTACCTTTGCAGTTTTCTTTCTGTTTGTAATAAAAAGATTATAGATTATGTTTCACGTTTTTGTAACTTTCTTTCTTTCTTTTTTTTTTTTTTTTTTTTTTGGAAACTGCATCACTAACTTGTAGACACATTTTGACTGTTCAGTGTGGAAATCTTGTGACGAAATGAATTAAGTATTAAATGTCTTCTTTACCACAGTATGATGTAATACTTGTGTAGTTTTCATTACTAGTACACCAGTGTACCAATGACTACAGTACATATCACAGCAGAAATTAAGGGTAAGGCTACATCTAATAAACGGTCACACTAAAAACACTTTTATATGTAGAATACATTTGATTGGGCATTGTTTTATAATAAACCGATAAAATAAGTAAAATGGTAAATGGACTACTTATATAACTCCTTTCTATCTTATCAAGACACTCAAAGCTCTTTACTACACAATCTGTGCCCTCATTTACCCATTCATACAGCACTCTACTAGATCTCTACAAAGAATAATCTGAGCTTTATCACATTCATACACCGACGGGACACACATCGGAGGCAATGAGGGGTTCAGTGTCTTGCCCAGAGACACTTCGGCATGTGACTGCTGGTGGAATCGAACCCCCAACTCTTGCATTGGAGAACGACTGCTCTAACCACTCATCCACAGCCGCCCCAAAGTCAATAATTATATAAATATTTCTAGCAAAGAAATGATTATTGTACTGTACAGTATTGTGTAGCGGCAGGTTCAGTGACTAAACAAACATCAGTCGACAAAACATTCAGAGTATTGGTTCCACTTTAATACAATCCCAATCCTGAAAAAGCTAGGGCATTGTTTAAAGTGTACATAAAAATAAAATGCAATCATGCTTTAAGCTTACAAACCCATTTTTTATTCACAATGGGACAAAAACTTTGGGACAGAGCCATGCTTCCTACTGTGAAGCAGCCGCTCTTTATTTAATAACGATCAGTGAACATTTTGGAACCGAGGAGTCCAGGGGTGCAACGCTGTCCGCTTCGTCTTTGCTGAACGTTTTGTTATGCTGTTCTAAAACCTATACATGTCTTTCTGCCTTGAAAGTACTTTCCAAAATGCATAAGCTGCTCATGTCTTTGGCACAAATGCACCCCCATACCAACAGAGAGGCAGACCTTTTGAAAAGAATGCTGATAATAGGCTGGTTGGACCCTCTAAATTGTCTCTAGGTGTGAGTGAGAGAGTGAATGTTTGTTTGTCTCTATGTGTCCCTGCAATGGACTGGAGACATGTCCAGGGGCCTGTCCCACCCCTCGCACAGTGACTGCTAGGCGCCAGCGACACAAAAAGGAAGAAGCGGGTAAAGAGAATGGATGGATATGTCATCAATTTTGTTCCACGCAACAGTTTTCCATTTTGCCTCCGTCCATTTGAAACGAGCTTAGGCTCATAGAGGATGCCAACGTCTCTGGGTGGAGTTCACATTTGGCTTCTTCTCTTCATTCTCCACATTCTTAAAACGCTCTGATGACTTTATTAAGTGAAGACGATGACAGATTTATTTTTCTCATCTGTCCAATGAGAAACATCGTTTCTGAAATGATTGTACAGTTTTCCCAGACTGGTTAACCTCTGTCCAACTTTACTTTTAAGAGACTCTGTCTTTCATAAATGCTTTTTATACGGAGTCCTCTTACTGATTAATTGCAAATTACCCGGTTTAGTTGCAAAATGTTCCTCCTACCATCTTTTATTGGCACAAGTAACATTTACAGCTTTTTGTTGCCCCAATCTAAACGTCTTTAAGATGTGCTGCTGCCGTAAAATTTATATTTTCCTTATTTTCTTGCCCAGATATGATACAGTTTCTCAGTTTTGACAAATGCCATATTTACTTTATTACATTGTGAATAAAACATGGGTTTAAGAGATCTGCTAATCATTGCATTTTGTTTTAAAATGCATCTAACATAACGTCCCAACTTTTTGTTTTTAATTGGAGTTGTAGAATAGATTAAATTTCTTATCTGAAATCACAGCTTGTTCAGGTACAGTAAGTAAAAATGTTCACCAGGGAACACATTTTTGATAAAGGCCGATAAAACAGGAAGTTCAGAGGAGATGAAGCATTTTTGAAAACAAAATATAACAGGTGAAGTTTTTGTGATTTTTGTCGGCTAATTAAATAAATCAGTGCAGTGATCCGTTTCTATATTTATATTTTACAGTAATCTCTACTTCCTCCTAGTCTTTGCAGATCCCTCAAACGCATCACAAGTTCAGAATGAGGGGTAACGCTTTTGGTCTGCAGTAGCCACAACTGTCCTGCTAGATATCTTATAAAAATGCACAAAATACAAAAATGCCAAATTATTACAATTATAAACATTGTGTGTTTTTTCCTATGGATGCCAAGAAAAAAAAAAAAGGTGCGTGTACCATCTGCTACAGGAAAACAACATAATTCTCTGGGATTAAACCTGTTTTTCCCTCGTACGTTGCTTGGAGCCAGCCTGGTTCCACGGAGGGGTACACTAAAAAAAAAGAAGAGCAAAACATCCTTCAGTCTCCGAGAAAGGAGAGCCAGACTCAAGAATCTGCATCAGCTGAGGAAAATTACTCCGTCTGTTATAGCCCATGTCATTTCCACATGGGACACTTATTGCCGATTCAAGGTCAGAATGATCTTTAAAGTCACTTCCAGGGATATATTTTACCGTTCAGAAGCTTAAAAGCAACAAAACCAGAAGAGAAAACAAAAATAGCAGCAATATTGATGACATTTATTTATAAAAAGAGAAAGAAACAGCTATAAAAACTTATAACATAATCTACATTAGGTATGCTGAATAAGGACAAAGAGAAAAATGGTCTTCTAATGTGGAGAGTAATAAAATCAATCTGCCTGCTTGTAAATGGAAGGGAGCATTTGTTGACGTTTTTGTATTTGGCTGCAGGCTCTGCAGGCTGTGTTAACAGGGAACAGGCACTGGTGCCTTCCATCACTAGGTTACAGTGACCTGACTGCACTGGTTATGGGCCAAGTCATCTCCCCATAAAGGAAAAAAAAAAAACTAAGACGCGAATAATAATGAAACGAAGAATCTCGAGGGGGTAAAATGATTTCATACCTCTCCCAATTTCTTAAAAAAAAAAAGCATTTCCTGTAAGCTGTCACAAAATTAAATGCACACAACTCAGTTTGTTCACGTGAACCTTCTTGCAAGAAAAAAAAAATAAGCTGAAGATTAGCTCTTTGGGTGTTTTTGCTCACCATTGGTGAAGTGCGCCCCCTGGGGGAAGCTGAGCTCATTGCTGTGTTCTGCCTCACACGAGTACATCGCCTTGGCATCTCTAAAAACACAAGAAGAGGCAACGCACGACTTAAGAGAGATGAGACGAAAGCATTAGGACTGCTTGTTGGAGATGTTATCATGCTTTTACTGAACCTTCCGGCGGGTGCAGAATGTTGGGAGGGCGGATTTTCAAAGAACAGTGCTCTGGCTGCAACCCTAAAATGACAAGAGACAAAACCTACTCAGCCTTTTCATTTGAGAGAGACAATAAAATGTTCACTTAGAAACAAACATTCATTGGTGTCAGAAGCATATGTAATGTGTCTTTATATCTTGTGATTCTTATGTATGTTCCTTTATACTGAAACTCTGGCACAATAAATTCCTGCGGGATTAATACAGTTCTAGCTTATCTTATCTTAATGTGGGGTGGGTACACTGTCTGGTGGGGCAGGGGTCTGGGAGTCGTCTCCCAAAAAAAATGTAATAAAGTAGATGACATTTCTTGCATTATGGCAAATTTTAACAGGCTGTTAAACATTACATTTACCTACATAAGTCAACACTTGATTCAATAACTATTTTAGCGAGCAACAAGATGCAGCCTGACCGACAGCTGTCCTTGTTTGAAGAGAACACGCTCTGCTTCTTGACAACCGCTGGCACTAACGTAGTGCTAAGCTAGCGGTGCGCAATACTGATGCACTAGTTAAAATGCTACAGACGTAGCGCTCCGAGTCTCTTACGCATCCTAACACCCCCACCCCCTGATGAGTTGTGTCCTGCCAAGTCAAGAAGTGACCTAGAGGAAACACTGCATGCGGTGTGGTGAGTTGTTGTAGGAAAATCCACTCCAGGAAAACCTGGAGTGGATTTTCAGTGGTTTGAGTATTCTCCAGTTAATCAAGTGGAATCGATTTGTTCACAAAGAAATAGAAACAGTGCTGGGTGAGCTAATATTTAATGGTAAATGCGGGGGGGTCCAAACCTATATTTTTTTAAATGTGAGAGGGACAAGTCCCCTCACATATAATTGTTGCGACACCTATGAACTCATTGCAAAGTGATGAAGATCAGTCAAAATCTGCACAATGTTTTCTTGTACTGATGCCCAGTGTGTCCTTGAATGAAATAATCGTAAGCAACATTTGTGACCGTCATGTAAAGCATTCATTCTATTTTCTTAAACATCAGATTTAATCTTATATTTTTACTTAAATGTCCTCTCTGACATTTGTCCAATTACGCCATTTGTTTACAGACTAAGGCCAGCCTAATGGAGGTCAAGCACACAATTCAAGCTTCCACATGATTCAGCCGAGTGCTTTGTTTACATTGAGTGAGTACCTGCATGTTAGAATTGCATATCGCCATTTCTGGAAAACTACTGGAGTAAACTCTTTGAGACTACAGCATTTTATATAGTTCAGGAAAAATGTTTTTGTTTCATTTTATGCTTTGCAATGACTACTTCAGAAAAAAAAAAGACACATATTACCAGTAATCAGATGAAACAGTTAGAAACCGTGGATAATTTGTAGCCTATAAAATTAACTGTACTGCCTCAGGGAGAAACTTATTCCTCTCCAACCGTTCTTGGACCAAAATAAGCCTGTCTCCTTTGCTTTGCCAGCGTTTCACATTGTTTCCAATGAAGTGAAAGGCGTGATGACACAATAAGGGAGGCTTCCTTCCTCCAGGCAGAGTCAGTCGAACGTACCGAACAGAGCTGTATAACGTAGATGTACTTGACCCCACGCACAACAATCCAGGAGTCAAGGGCACAGCCGAGCCTAGGGCGAGCTGGGCGGGCGCTAAGCAGAAAAACTACTCTGAGACCGTGTGCTCCTCAGACACGACAAGTCAAACAATCTATCGGTCCCGGGAGAGCGGGCGCAGACTGCTGCTGGGTCACATCAACCTCAGAGCAGGCAGAACATAATTAAAGGCAGCTCTCCCACCAGCACACAGAGACATAAATCTCCAAACACATACTCATCTGATTTTAGAAACCTCTCAATTCTCATAAACAGACGACGGAGGCGGCTGACGACTCAGAGAGGAGAGAGGGAACAGGAGGACGGAAGACAGGAAGGATTGTTGCTAAGCGGTTGTAAATAAGGCTCTTTGGGTTGCAAATTTGCAGACGCCCAATAAACTGAATATTGTCTCCATACTTTGTACCAACTGAACAGTTGTCCACTGTTTATCAATACTGTACGTCTTCTGCCACCAGAGTTTTAGACTAAGATCACCTTATGTCAAGTAATGTCTAAATTGTACTCGTTTTGGTCAATCCTTGAAAAATAACACGATGTGATGCAAAAGAGTCGATTGAATCTCTACAATCAACAATTCTAGCTCAACATTTGTTAAACGGACTAAATTTGAATCATGTTGGGGTTTGCTAACAGCCATCTTGAAGTTGACTGACTCCAAACGTTATTACGTTGTAGATGTACAGTATGTTCACTGATCACTTTCAAAAAGTTCTATCAAAATGTGTCCAATATGAGACAGTTATAACAGAGAAACAGGGTTCACTTCAATAGTTAATGCTAAAGCAAAGCTAAGATTATGTGCAAACCAACAAAATGTGAGTAAGATAAAAATGAAAAGGACTAGTAACCATTTTTCTTGTTATTGCTTCTTTTAAGTCAGCTTTATTATACTTGTGGATTTTATCGTCTGTTTTGTTCCCATTGAGGTACAAATATATATATACATGTGAGGAAACTATGCTTTCTAGTTTTGAAATTGCTTAAAAGTATAGTTCCCAAATGACTGCAATGGTACTTGGGTGAACTATAAGGTAGTCGAAGCCACGTTTGGCCACCCCCTGGCTCTTCCATTGTTCCCTCCACTCGACAGAATCTGTCACTCTGTACCACCTCGGACAAAACAAACAAACTAAAAAAAAAACGACCTCAGAGTACACAGAGTAATGTCTACTCACTTGAATATCTTGCACCAAAAACATCAAAGTTTACAGTAGTCCCTCGTTACTTCACGGTTCGACTTTCGCGGACTCGCTCTTTCTCGGTTTTTCAAAGTAAGATTGGACATGACACACAATTGGCTGATTGATGGATGAAATGCACAAGCAGCATGGATTGTTTATTTAAAACAAAACATTTTAAATGATTTAGTACCTGCTGCACCTGTGTGCAGCCCACAGGTGCAGGGAGAAAGAAGCTCCCTCCTGCTGCATGTCATGATCTCCGCTCTCTGCCACCGATTGCAGCAGAGAAGTGGGCGTGGCCAAGGGCGCTGGCAGATGGCAGAGAGCGGAGATCATGACAGGCTGTGCTCTTTTAGTGCGTTGAGAGTTTACAAACATTGTTTTGAACATTGCAAGTTAAAGGAAGGCGTTAAAACACATTTCTATATATAAAAATACAAACTATTACTACTTGTACTACTATTTCTACTTTGCAGTTTTTCCACTTATCGCGGGGTGGGGTGAGACAAGTCTGGGAATGGAACCCCCGTGATAAACGAGGGACTACTGTATTTAGATTCTCTGTTTATTTCCAGTCCAGAAAAAAAATAATCTTATTTCGAAAACGACAAAAATTCACTATACAAGTCCGCCAGCGACGGGGGACAACGGCGTAGCACTTGTCCTTTTCGCTTTTAACCTCTTTCTGTACTTTGGTCAACATTGCTGCTTTCAAATGTGCTAAGCAAATAAATTGACATTGATATTTTAACAACAAATTTTAAATAAAATAATAGTAGGAATTAAAAACAAACAAACAAACAATAGTTTAACAGCTGGCATTATATTTAACATATTCATCTGTAATAATTTTATAATTTATAATGAAGTAGAGCTTTGTAAAGGTCATTACACTGATCCTGGTCTTTGGTAGCCGTTGTTGGCGGACCCGTCCATCCTGCGGCGGATCACTACTTTGGGTGGAAGGTCTGGGTGCTCCGAAGGCTTTAGACTCTCCAGTGTTAATAAGCTTTGGGCAGATCCAGAGTGGCTCCTGTGGCCTTCAGGGTGACACACACATATACACACCACACACAGTAATTTGTGACTCCTTGTAGATGACACAAATCTCCTGATAGTAAAAAGCTCAATACAACTCGTGAAATAAGACATGAAGGCGGCGCTGTTTAAACTGTGCTCAAGTCAAATGGGAACAATAAAACTTTAAAAGCCTTTGAAGATTTGATCACAACTGTGCGACAACAAAGTTCTGTTTACTTTACCAGAATAAAACCAGGCCTACCGTCAGATACATGCAGGGACTTCAGTGAGGGAGAAACAGAGCGGTTCATCAGTGCTGGTTTGAGGTCGGTGTTGCAATGGGGGGCTTTTTTGGGTGCAGGGGACAGTCTGGGTGTGATGCTGACTGAGGACAGGCTGAGAGCGTCCTCGGACTCTCCATCTGTTCGCCCCGTGTCCTCCCTGGAGCTGGACTCAGGGCTGCTGACACACACGGTGCTTCTGGGGCCATTTGAGAGCTGAGATGATGGTAGGTGCAGCAGGTCCAACTTGCTCTGACTCGTCTTGTGTCTGGAGGAAGCTGCTTTGGAGCAGGTGTTCTGCTCAGAGGAGTGGGAAGACAGAGACTCCATGCTGCCCATAGGGGTACTGCTTGGACTGCTGCTTAAAGTGTCACCTATGCAGGGATCAGAAGGCAGGCGGGCGAAGCTCTCATTAAAACCTGCCTTGTTGTATTATCCACTTATAAACAACTAGAAAAAAGCATTTCGGGCACAAACGCAGTGTTATTACTGAGTGCCGAAAGACTTTGCTGAAATTTGTTTTTCAGCTAAAACTTGTTAATGTACCGGTAAATAAGGCAAATCAGATTTTTGTAAAAGCAGAAGAAAAGCTGAAACAAATTAAACAGATGCTCAAATGATCAGAAAACAAGCTAAAAGAAAAACAGAACCCAAATGAATTTGATCAAAACAATGAAAGTTAAAAATAGTTAATATATAGAAAGTTTAAGTTTGCAAAACAATAGCTAAAAGCTAAGATTAGCAAAACAGTACCTAAAATCTAATATCAACAAAACAGTAGCTAAAAGCTAAGATTAGTAATCTGTACCTAAAATTTAATAAACAAAACAGTAGCGAAAAGCTAAGATTAGCTAAATGGTACCTAAAATTTAATATCAACAAAACAGTAGCTAAAAGCTAAGATTAGTAAACTGTACCTAAAATCTATCAACAAAACAGTAGCTAAAATTTGCTAAAGCTATAAGCTAAAATGAGTAAGAGTATCTAAAGTCCAAAATTAATAAAAAGCTTTAAACAGCCACAATTGGCAAAACCGTAGCCAAAAACAAAATTTTGGAAAACGATAGCAAAAAAGTTACATTGATTAATATTTAGTTTAAAGTTAAATTAGCAAGCATATGCAAAACAGTATCTGAAATTGTAGCTACAAGCTAAAATGAGCAAAACAATAACTAAAAACTGAAATTAATAAACAATATTTTATTAGCCACTATTAGCAAAACTGTAGCTAAAAGCTAAAGTTAGAAAAACTATAGCTAAAAAGTTGCATTGATTAATATTTAAAGTTAAATTAGCAAGCATGTGCAAAACAGTAGCTGAAATTGTAGCTACAAGCTAAAATGAGCAAAACAATAACTAAAAACTGAAATTAATAAAAATATTTTATTAGCCACAATTAGCAAAACTGTAGCTAAAAGCTAAAGTTAGAAAAACTATAGCTAAAAAGTTACATTGATTAATATTTAGTTTAAAGTTAAATTAGCAAACATATGCAAAACAGTAGCTGCAATTAGCCAAACTTTAGATATACAAGCTAAAATAAGGATGACAAAAAGAAATAGTAGCTAAAAACTAAACAAATGAAAACTGTTTAAATTTTTTACCTTAGTTTTGCAAAACTGGAGCCAAAAGCTACATTTTGCACAGCTAAAGCCTAAAATGAGCACAACAATAGCTAAAAGCTAAACAGAGCATAAGAAGACCAAATAAGAGCAAGTATGCTGAAACAGAATTCAACAAGAAAGTTTTAAGTTCGCAGAAGTAATTTGACTGCAAAAAGTATAAGAAAAAACCCAACATTATTATTTCACGCGATAAACAGATCCTAAAGAACTCTTCCACGGACATGTGTGGAACAGCGTGCAGATGTCTGACAGACATTTAAACTCCCTGACAGGTCTGTGATGACCCGTGGATACATTCCCTGTCTTGGTACTCACTTTCTGCGTCTGCCAGGCACAGCGTTGGAGTGTACAGACTGCGAGGTTTACGAGGCCCCTTGGACAGGCAGATGGCTCGGCTCCTGCGGGAGTCGGGCCGGCTCTGTGGTTGGGGCAGCGGCACATTAGGATCTGGAGGCTGGTGGAAGATCTGCAGGTCCAGAAAGAAGCTTCAACACTCAAAACTAATGCACAACTGACATTTATGCAGGACTGCAAGTCCAGTACAATTAAATTCAATACGTCACGTCAACAGTTCTGGAATATAATTTTTAACGGCAGCGTTTATTCTTTTACTTGGAGCGCTCAACAAGTTCATAAATACGATAAAATGAGAAAAACAAAAAGTAAAAATGGTCTATTTGAGCCTTAAGGGATAATTTAAGTGATTTCAAGAAAGTAGCACAAATAAAGTGCCTTCAGGAGCAACTTAAGTTTAATGCTTTACACTTTATCAGCCGAGACAATGTTCAGGATGTTGTTCCGGAAGATCCTGCAGGTGGTGCCAGGTTCAGACAGATGGCTGGTGTCAGCCAGAAGTTTGTCTTTTCTCATTAAACATTTTATTTCTCTCCTCACCACTCGCACCAAGTCCTTACTCAAAAGGAACTGTTGGGTTTATCTGTATGGAAAGTGTGCATGCAAGGTCCTGATGCATGCTCAACAATCCAGGTGAAAAAAATCCAGCAATGTAAGTCGGGTCCTCTTCTTCTTTCAACAATAAAGAATCTGTCCAGGTGACCTGACTTAACCTTGTTGGACGCCCTCACAAGGTTAATTGTTGTGACTTAATGCAGTAAAAATGTGTACTGAAATATGGCACATCATACGTCGGTAAACTATCATACAGCAGTCTATGGTCTATAGCAATGGCCCAGACAATTTCAATTCAATTCAGTTCAGTTCAGTTTATTTATATAGTGCCAAGTCACAACAGAATTATCTCAGGGCACTGAACAAACATTAATATTTATAAAAACTAAGTTAACATTATTTAGCTAAGTTAACTTAAAGACATATAAATTAGTAGGTAAGGACAAAACGGTAGCTAAAATCTGAAATCAACTAAACCATAGCTAAAAGCTAAAATGAACAAAACAGTAGCTAAATTTAAAATTAACAAAATAGCTAAAAGTTTAACAAAACAGTAGCTAATAGCTTACATTAGCACAACATAGCTAAAAGCTAAAACTAGCAAACCAGTTAAATGCATGAAAATAAGTAAATAAGTAAGTAAGGGGAAGTAAGTAAGAAAGAACAAGAAAAGACCTTGCGCGATGTTTGACCTTGATTTGTGACCTTGAAGCTTGTTGATGAAACATGTGCACAACACTTTATGTATTGATGATGCATATGTGTGTCAAGTTGAGCAGATCAAAAGTTATGGCCTGGACAAGCATAGGCCTTGTTTTAAATTTGACCTTGATTTGTGACCTTGAAGTTGGGTGATGAAAAGTGAACACAACACTTTATGTATTGATGATGCATATGTATTGATGATGCATATGTGTATCAAGTTGAGCAGATCAAAAGTTATGGCCTGGACAAGCATAGGCCTTGTTATAAATTTGACCTTGATTTGTGACCTTGAAGTTGGGTGATGAAAAGTGAACACAACACTTTATGTATTGATGCATATGTATTGATGATGCATATGTGTATCAAGTTGAGCAGATCAAAAGTTATGGCCTGGACAAGCATAGGCCTTGTTTAAAATTTGACCTTGATTTGTGACCTTGAAGTTGGGTGATGAAAAGTGAACACAACACTTTATGAATTGATGATGCATATGCATTGATGATGCATATGTGTATCAAGTTGAGCAGATCAAAAGTTATGGCCTGGACAAGCATATGCCTTGTTGTAAAGTTGACCTTGATTTGTGACCTTGAAATTGGGTGATGAAAAGTGAACACAACACTTTATGTATTGATGATGCATATGTATTGATGATGCATATGTGTACCAAGTTGAGCAGATAAAAAGTTATGGCCTGGACAAGCATAGGCCTTGTTATACATTTGACCTTGATTTGTGACCTTGAAGTTGGGTGATGAAAAGTGCACACAACACTTTATGTATTGATGATGCATATGTGTGTCAAGTTGAGCCGATCAGAAGTTATGGCCTGGACTAGCAAATACCTTGTTTTAAATTTGGCCTTGATTTGTGACCTTGAAGCTGATTGATGAAAAGTGTGCACAGCACTTTATGTATTTATGGTGCATATCTGTTTCAGGTTGAACAGATCAGAAGTATTGGCCTGGAAAAGCAAAGACCTTGTCTTAACTTTGATCTTGATTTTTGACCTTGATCTTGAAGCTGGGGTGATGAAAGCGTATTCAACACTGTCAAGAGATAATGCTTATGAGCAGATTAGACGAGAGTAAGTTTATAAACGTACACACCTAAGGACGGACAAAGACAATATCAAAACACGTACGGTGGCCCCGAGGTTTACACGAACAACATTTGAAAAAACGGAATTACAAATTTTAATTAAATATCTGTTTTTGTTTACTTCTTTGTCATGTTTTGCTACTTCTCTGTTCCAAATAATGTTCCTTAAATTTAAATTTGATCTGTATAATACATCAAATTGTTTGTGCAAATGTTGACCTTGTCTTCAACGGGTGTACAAAAATGTAAGTTGTTAAAAAAAAAAAAGTCTCTAAAAAATAAAAATGCATCGATAGGAACCGTGGTTGAATGACGTTTGTAATAAAGCCCTAGAGAGTACATGGATAACGTGAAACAGCGTCTCACCTTATCAAAGTTCTCGATAAGTATTTCCACAACAATGTTCTGGAACTTGATGTTCATCATAGCAGCAACAGTCTCCTCTTGGGAGCGCATCAACGTGGGGCCGAAGATAACACCCAGGTTTGACACCGTCATCAAGTTGGACTGATTTTGTGCAGAAACGCTTTAAATAGAAAACAAGAGGTGAAGAAAGTTTAATGAGTTTAAGCCATTTGTCGTCCTCCTTGAGAAGGCGACCGTTTCCCCTCCCAGAGTGTAAGCGGTTCGTTACAGAAGCACATACGTGACGAGGTGTTTTATTAGGAGCTCCAGCATTTCCCTGTTCCTCTCTGGAAGTTTGTGGACCAAAGCATGGACAGCACACACCCTGTAGTTCTGGTCATCGGACTCTGTGGAAACGAACAATATAAATGAGTCATTTTGGCCAAACCTCGGAAAAAAACAACGTGCATAATCTCATGCAATGCTGCAAATCCTTACACGAACTGTTAGCAGTTAGAATAGGGTCTGTGATAAATTGTCAACTTCTACCACATCAAATTTTTAGCGCAAAATCAGTCAAATTTAAGAATAAAATCATATTCCAGGCCTCTCTTGTAAATGAGTCCCCGAGGCTCAATGGGATTAACCCGTTTAAATAAAGGTTGAATGAATGTTTGCTAGAGTTAATTAGCTGTGAACGCCATCTTGACTTGGTTTGACTCCAAACGTTAATCAGCTGTACATTAATTATTTTTGGGAGATTCAAAAGATATTTTGCTAACAGGCTATTGAACACAGATAAGCACACACAGGAAATTACACGATAGCCTGCCGCTCATAACAGTGACAAACAGGAAATTGAAGCATAAGAGTCGAAACTTGCACCTCGGCTTCTTCAAGCCTTCGATAGACTTACTACCTTGGCGGAGAAATATTTTTTTACTTTGTTGATAGTGAGATACGTTCTGAAACAATCGATACAGCTTCCTCTAAGCGATGGAATACTAGAGCAATGGCTGCTGTGATTTTACCACAGAACCAATAATTTAGAGAATGACCAGTGGTCTTCAGAACAAGAACCTAACGCTGATGAATCTCCAGTGACAATTAACGCTACGGGACAAGATAAATACATTTAGGATTAATTATGATTGGGGCGGCTGTGGCTGAGTGGTTAGAGCAGTCGTCCTCCAATTGGAGAGTTGGGGGTTCGATTCCACCAGCAGTCACATGTTGAAGTGTCCCTGGGCAAGACACTGAACCCCTCATTGCCTCTGATGTGTGTCCCATCAGTGTTTGAATGTGATAAAGCTCTGATTAGTCTTTACACATTCAGATTAGCTTTGTATAGATCTAGTAGAGCGCTGTATGAATGGGTAAATGAGGCACAGATTGAGTTGTAAAGAGCTTTGAGTATCTTAACTAGATAGAAAGGCGCTGTATAAGTACAGTCCTTTTACCATCAACTGTATTTCAATATATGTGAAATACTTTAATCTGACTGTGTTAGGGGTGTGTAATTTATCCATAAAAGGTTTTTGTTACTACCGCATTATTCTTTTTTGTAAACATGAAAAAAATCTTTGGGTATTTTCAAGATCAGCTTAATTTATTTCAAAAGGCTATCCTGCTGTGCAGAAAGACAAAAATGAAACTAGCTTAACTTCTGAGCTGAACATAAGATGAGGCAGATCTGAAACACAACATGGAGCCATTTCTTAGATGAAAGGAGTTTAATTGTTTCAAATTCTGCTCGATTGATAGTTGCTACTTTTTAAGAACTGAGTGTCGCTCCTCAAAGAAAATAAGGCTACAATAAACCAAACAGCAGCTAAAAACTAAAAGGAGCAAAACACTAGCTGAAGGCTAAAATAAACCCAACAGCAGCTAAAAACTACAAGAAGCAAAGCAGTAGCTGAAGGCTAAAATAAACCAAACAGCAGCTAAAAACGAAAAGGAGCAAAACAGTAGCTGAAGGGTCAAATAAGCCAAACAGCAGCTAAAAACTACAAGGAGCAAAACAGTAGCTGAAGGCTAAAATAAGCCAAACAGCAGCAAAAAACTAAAAGGAGCAAAACAGTAGCTGAAGGCTAAAATAAGCCAAACAGCAGCTAACAACTAAAAGGAGCAAAACACTGGCTGAAAGTTAAAATAAACCAAACGGCAGCTAAAAACTAAAAGGAGCAAAACACTAGCTGAAGGCTAAAATAAGCCAAACAGCAGCTAACAACTAAAAGGAGCAAAACAGTAGCTGAAGGCTAAAATAAGCCAAACGGCAGCTAAAAACTAAAAGGAGCAAAACACTAGCTGAAGGCTAAAATAAGCCAAACAGCAGCTAAAAACTACAAGAAGCAAAACAGTAGCTGAAGGCTAAAATAAGCCAAACAGCAGCAAAAAACTAAAAGGAGCAAAACACTAGCTGAAGGCTAAAATAAGCCAAACAGCAGCTAACAACTAAAAGGAGCAAAACAGTAGCTGAAGGGTCAAATAAGCCAAACAGCAGCTAAAAATTACAAGAAGCAAAACAGTAGCTGAAGGCTAAAATAAGCCAAACAGCAGCAAAAAACTAAAATGAGCAAAACACTAGCTAAAGGGTCAAATAAGCCAAACAGCAGCTAAAAACTACAAGAAGCAAAACAGTAGCTGAAGGCTAAAATAAGCCAAACAGCAGCTAACAACTAAAAGGAGCAAAACAGCAGCTGAAGGCTAAAATAAGCCAAACGGCAGCTAAAAACTAAAAGGAGCAAAACACTAGCTGAAGGGTCAAATAAGCCAAACAGCAGCTAAAAACTACAAGAAGCAAAACAGTAGCTGAAGGCTAAAATAAACCAAACAGCAGCTAAAAACTAAAAGGAGCAAAACACTAGCTGAAGGGTCAAATAAGCTAAACAGCAGCTAAAAACTACAAGAAGCAAAACAGTGGCTGAAGGCTAAAATAAGCCAAACAGCAGCAAAAAACTAAAAGGAGCAAAACAGTAGCTGAAGGGTCAAATAAGCCAAACAGCAGCTAACAACCAAAAGGAGCAAAACACTAGCTGAAAGTTAAAATAAACCAAACGGCAGCTAAAAACTAAAAGGAGCAAAACACTAGCTGAAGGCTAAAATAAGTCAAACAGCAGCTAAAAACTAAAAGAAGCAGAACAGTGTCAGGTTCAGTGTCTTGCCCAGAGACACTTCGGCATGTGACAGCTGGTGGAATCGAACCCCAACTCTTGCATTGGAGGGCGACTGGTCTAACTACTCAACCACAGCTGCACAAACTAAACATACAAAACCATAAAGGCAGCAAAAACTATAATGTGAATGCAGAATCAGTTTGCTCAATGCTAATTAAAGAAGTGCATGGTAACAAGTGTAACTTTTATTAAACTTACTGACAGCCATGATGAAATCTTTGTGGAGCTTGAAAGTCATCAGAGGCTCAGAGAGACATCTGGGTAAAAAAAAAAAGAAGAACAGTTGTGATTTAGTGACACGAGTCCTCTGAACACAGCCACCTTGCTCTGTGAGTCAGTGATGGCACTGAATGCACCACTAACAGCAGGGTGGTTTTAAAGTACTTTAATGGAGGCAGAGATGACTCCTGCCCGTTAAGGACCCGCCGCTGGCAGGGCGAGCTGACCTGAGGTAATTCTTCAAACCGCTGGTGATAGTTTTGTTGTCCCACATCTCTGGATCCAGTTCCATATCAGCAGGCGCCTTTGAAGCTGTTGACAATACATTAAAGCATTATTTTTTTTTTACGTCAACACCGCTTTTAAATCACACGAGAAGAAACCTACCCAAAACGAGAACTGATATGCGAGTGAGAATTAAAAACCCTGAGGAGCTTATAAAAAAATAAAAGGAGAAGCACACACATTTAATTCACTTTGACGTTTCCCATTCACACGTATGAAATGTATGCAAACAAGATTACTTTGGGTCATTTAATAAGGTAATGACAAAATAACAGCAGGTCATGATGTTGTTAAACAGTTGTGCCACAGAGAGGAGCTCTTCCCCCACTCTGAACACACCACAGACACATCGGACTAACCAAATGTTCCTAACCCCAACCTGGGTCACAGAACATTAGACGTGAGTTCTTAATACTCTCCAGATACTAATTTAGATTTGAAAATGAATCCTTATTAAATATTTTCACTGTGACTGTCACAAAGAATGAACACAGTACTCATGAATAAATACCAATGATATTATGGATGTTAAAACTGTTTTTGTTGAGATTATGTTCATGTTTATTTGAATTATTATCATTTGTTGCACATTTAAACTGGGGTAGAAATAATAGGCTGATAACAAATGGGTTCACAAGCTTTTGTCATTTTCATTTTGTAGGTTGGGAGTTAAAATGATTGCGCCAGATGAGTTAGAAGTTATAAGAAGGAAATTAAAAAAAAAATCATATATATTATTGATAATTCTTTGAAATCTTAAATAAAGCAAGCTTTTGACTCCAAAAATACCAGGTTGATGCAAACAAACATTAATTAGCCAATACAACAAGGGTATAATGACAATATGATTAGCCATAACATCAATTATACTACTTTAACACCTGCTGCCTTTAATGGCAGGCGATCATGTAATTTCTTGTGTCACCAATAACTTACTACAGCCAAGACAAAAAGGACTAAAATGAAGTCACTTTGAGCTAAGCTTTGGTGAGCTATGAGCTAAAACTCATACTTAACCCATTTTGTTTAAAACTTTTGACATTCAATGCAGAAGACATTATGCATGCTTTTAAAATAATAATATATTTTTAAAATGTATTAATGCATATCTGCTATTTTCATTTATTGTAACAGTATGTTGAAATGTATGCCTGCCAGGTTCTGGTTTATCAATGGGAGAAAAAAGGAGTCGAGGTATGGATCCAGGCGTCTGGATAACCGATAACACTGGGAACCCTGTCCTTCTAAACAAAACGTCTGGCTGAGGCCCAGGGAAACTCCACTGAGAACGAGACATGACAATGGACCCACAAGGAGTCAGAACACAAGAGGATCTTTAAAGGGTGGAAACTAATTAACTAAACTGGAACCATCTGGGAAAATTAACTGGAGGGTAACACAGAGGGCAATACGCTGAAAGAGAACACAAAGACCCTGAAAACACAAAAAAAGGTACGAACACAAAAACATATCAAGATAATGCCAATAAATTATGTAATTAGTAATATATCTTCAATTTTTGTTTATTTTGTTTAAACTAGTTTTTTCAGATGGAGTACAAGTACAGGTATTTCAGTATGGGTACTTGCTGATACTGAGTATTGACAGAGTAGTTAATGAGTTATTACTTATAATTACACAATGACTATAGAAAAATATGTTTTTATTAAGAACACAGCAAACATTCTGCTGTCAACATCACCTTTTATTTGAAAAGACCTCTAAACTATGGACATTTTTTAAAAAATGGCCTCTTTTAATTGCAAACGGAAGAGGAAATGATGTCACTAAGCATAAAGTGGTATCAGTTTGAAGTATCAGGGTGTTCGTATGAGTATAAGTGGCCACCGCTAACCAACAAGTTAGCTTTGCTAATCCAAATTCCACCAACTAAAAAAGTAGCTTTGCTAACATTAAACCACTAAACTGGTAAAAAAAACAAAAAAAACAGTGGAAGCTAAGACTCAACTGCTAACTGCTAAGACAACGTCACTCATCATCGTCATCTGTACGCATAGTCAGCCAATAGTGTACCTAACAAACTCTTGGAGACATGCCCACAACAGACCGGAACAAGCGTGTGAATATTGTTAGTGGACAACGTTAGTGAAACCTAATTTGGCAGAAGCTAATTCTGCTAACGATTTCCAAAGTTGTGGTGGCATGGTGGAGCAGTTGGTAGAGCTGCGTGCAGGTCGCCAGACCAAATCCCGGCCAGAAGCCTTTCTGTGTGCAGTTTACATGTTCTCTCCGTGCATGCGTTGGTTTTCTCCGGGCACTCCGGTTTCCTCCCACAGACCAAAAACATGCAAGTTAGGCTGATTGGTAACTCTAAATTGTGAGTGAGAGAGTGAATGCTTGTTTGTCTCTGTGTCCCTGTGATAGACTGGAGACCAGTCCAGGGTGTCCCCAACATTGCACAGCGATAACTGGAAATGGGCACCATTGACATCTGTGGCCCAAAAAGTAAAAAATGGGTAAAAGATAATGGATGGATGGATTTCCAAAGTTAGAAAAAATACTAATCTGCTAAACAAAAAATGAGTTCTGCCATTAGCAGATTAGCAGAACTGTGCCCATCACTGAGTATACTGTAAGTATGAGTACTTGAGGCTGGTATTAGGACACCACTAGTTTCAACTGCGTATATTTGGTGTTCGATGACCCCTACGGGCGTCCCGACAACTTTTACAGCCATCATGTTAAATTTCAGCTACTTACAAAACACGGTGCTCATCAGCTTCTGTACTTTAGAGTTGACCCCTCCGATTCTGTACAACCCCATTGTGTTTATCCCTATGTTGTAAAAGGAAAGCACAAAGGACATACACTGTCAGTTGAAGTATGGCACATGCCACGGCAAGTGAATGAAAAATAAGATAATCATAATCATAATTAGTGCCAGACAAATAATCTGACACATGAAAGCCTGAACATTTAAAAGCCTCACCTCTCTTCTCAACCAGGTCAATGCATTTCCTTATGAAGTTAAAACCTGCCTCATTAAGATATGCTGTAATAAAACACAGGAGGAGGGTTGACATGTCATTTAGTGGTTGGGTTAATTACACATCATGTTGGAATAATCAGCTTTCCCTTATGCCTGTGCTCAAACTAACAAGATTAACCACAAAATTTAGCAAATTAACTGCAAAAATGCACAGTGAATGCTTTTTATTCAGTGATTTTGATGAAAGTTGCTGAAGAAGCTGAACCCAAACTGTACATTTCAATTGCTGAACCATCACTACTTGTTTAATATGAAAAGTTGAATATGGAACCAAAAATAATTGAATGATTTGCGGAAAATTGCAAATAGCAAGAAAATAAAAGCCAGCTTGGAGTCAGAAGTAGCAAAACGCCATCACCGATCACCAATTTTGATTTTGGCTGATACGATTTTGTTTTATAAGCAACATTGTCAGGTGTTATGTCACAATGCACCTTCAATTTTCCAGTATTATTTTTATTGAAAAACATACCCTTGAACAATAGAAACTTTTTTTTAACTGGTCATGAGATAGTGCTCTGAAATATAAATGAAGTTCAGACAATTGTTGTTAAAACCAAAAAAATCGGTTTCTCATGCAAGTATCGGCTGATTTCCCAATATTAAGGAAATCGGGGCGGTGCACCCCTTAAAATATGCAGTCAAAAATTGCAGAAAATGTTAGCTTAGAAGCAAAAGTGTTAAAACTTGATCAGTAAAGCACGAAAGTGCTAGAATAAGCAAAACGCTTGTTAAAAAAAAAAGCCAGAAAAAGCTAATCTAGAGGCAAAAGTATCAAAATGCTAACAAAAAGCAGGCTAATGCTAGCTAATAGCCAGAAATGGCAAAACACAAGCAAAAAGCAGAAAATGCTAGCTAAGAGCCAGAAGTAGCTAAATGTTAGCAGATAACAACATACCATAACAGATAACAATAGACTACTTAGTTTCAGCTTCTTCAGCAGATAGGCGTTCACACTGCATTTTCGCAGGACATGCAACTTCTGCTAGTTAATTTATTTTATCGATAAAAGAGGTTTGAAAAGATAAAAACACTTACTTTCCTCCTTTTTGCTTAATATGGCTGGCAGGTTGTAAATCTGAAGAAAATATGGGAAAAAAATTATCAAAACATTGTTTCTAAATTAATTTTAGACAAACAAAAAAAAAATTACACCACTGTCCTTGTGCTTTAGGTGATCTTTAATGTTGCTCGCTATCGAAGTTAATAATGGTTTTGCCTTTGTGTCTGTGTTCATTCGTCTGTACTAATTATCTCATAAGCAGTGGTAGGATTTTAATAAACCTATTAAAGCAAAAATTCAATATGAATAACATCTTTTGGAGTCAACCCAGTTCAAGACGGATGCTACAACTAATCGATGTTAGCCAGTACAACAAGTGGTACGCCGATGTCCCCCATCGCTGAAGGATTTGAATTGTGACCATTGGTAGTTTTCCAGACGAGTGTTTTTTCTGGAAAAAAACTTTAACATTTTTAGTGCAAAATATTCAAGTGGATAGGAGTTACATTGTGTTTAAAAATAGAGGTAGTTATTTATTTTTTTGCTTGTGTGAGGCAGTGCAGGGTGACGGATCCTGACAAATGGAAGGAGCAATTTTATCCACAATCAGGCACAATGGAGTAGCCAAGGTAGAGCTAATGGTGGCCTTAGTCATAGATTAAATTAAATTCAGTTCAGTTTATTTATATAGCGCCAAGTCGCAACAGAAGTTGTCTCAGGGCACTGAACAAAGGCAACAGTGGAAAAATAAATCCCTCCTAACAGGAAAACCTCCAGCAGAACCAGGCTCAGGACGAGCGGCCATCTGTTTCGAAGATTGGAAGCCCGGCTGGAAGATTAATCTTCGGCCACCCCAAGAGCCACCTCAGGGATAGGGACATTTTTTTAAGCCTAGATGCAGCTACACTGCAAAATAAAAGTTGGCACATTGCTTATTTTTCACGTTATCCAGCTTCCCTAGTTTACATATATACATATAGCGGATCAGCCAACTTGGATTTTGACGTTGTAACCCAAGTTTTGATAATGAACTTTCTTGCGCCTAGATGTAGCCAAACACCAAAATGGAAGTATGTACCGCCATATTTTCTTTCATTCAACCTTTATTTATACAGGTTCATCCCATTGAGCCTCGGGGACTCATTTACAAGAGAGACCTGGTTTTACCAAGGAGTGATGACAACAGTGGACAACAAAGACAACACTTGACAATCATAAAGGATGGCATACAAATTTTTATTTTATTTTAATTTTTTTTAACAAGTGAAAATAAAATGGTAATTATAAGTAAAAGTAGCAACAAAAAACCCCCAGCTAGGTTGTAAGGCGGTGTAGAAAACTAAAAACATAAGTCATACGTGATATAAGCGATATCACGATCGCAACATGCACGGCTGGATGGATGGACGGAGGGTATTTCATATCCCCCCTCTTGGCCCCGAGATGAGGGACAAAAAAGGCTTTAACTTAGTCAATTTTAAGGGAAGGGAAGTCTGAGATTGTCATCATTGTATGTTTCCTTACAATGGCAAAATTAGTTCTCCTAATTTAACCCATCATGCCTGAGATACATCCAGGTGGAGCAGTGGGCAGCTTTGTGGGCTGCCCCGGGAGCAGTTAGGAATTGGGTGTCTGGCTCAGAGACACCACGACATGTATGGTTGGGAGTCGAACCGTGACTTTCTGGTCCCAGGTCGGCTGCCCTGCCTCTACCCCATCTCGGACCCCAAGATACAAAGATTAATATACTGAGTATTACGTATTGTATTAAGTATTAAGATACTGAGCTAAAGATTTGTAGTAGCGAAGGGTCATAAGGCTATACATTGTGAAACATCTTGCTAAAACTTTAGCATTACAGTAGTCCCTCGCTACTTGGCGGTTCGTTTATCGTGGATTCGCTCTATCGCGTTTTTTCAAAATAAGATGGGACATGACACACAACTGGCTGAATGATGGATGAGCTGCACGATCAGCATGAAAATTTTATTTAAAATAAATTATTTTTAGTTGTTTAGCACCTGCTGCACATTTGTGCAACTCAGAGCTCCAGGAAAAGCTTCCTCCCGCAGCTTTGTGCAGCCCTTCCTGCTGCAGCTGAACAGCTGATCAGATGTTCATTGTAGAGCAGAAAAGTGGGCGTGGCCAAGAGCGCTTGCAGGTGGCAAAGAGCAAAGGAGGAAGGGAGTTGACATCATGACATTCTGTGCTCTTTTAGAGAGTTTAGAAACATTGTTTAGAATAATGCAAGAGTGTGGGAAGGGTTTAAAATGCTTATATATATATATATATATATATATATATATATATTATATATATATATATATATATATATATATATATATATATATAACAAATAAACTACTACTTACTACTTGTACTAATATTTCTACTTTGCGTTTTTTCACTTATTGCGGGTTTTCAGGGTACGGATCCTCGGCGATAAACGAGGGACTACTGTACCTATTAACATTAACCATATTAGACTGTTAGCAAAATATCTAATGAATTACTAGACAGATTTTACTCAGAATTCCAAAAAGTGATTTTCCAGTTATTCAGCTAACTTTGATTTGGTAGTAGCTGAAATTCACCCTCATACATACTTCAGTCACTAACAGATTGCACCGTGTTTCGTAATATTGCATAAGATTGCACATAATGTCTTTTTTTTTTTTTTTTTACAAAGTTTGACAAAACAGCTATAATTTCCTCCCTTTATTTTATTTTTTACCATAAGATGATGCTATTTTAGAAATTCGGCCTGAAACGTGGCTGGGGATATGTTTTCCTTCAAAGACGCTCTTTAAATCACGCTGATTTTCTTTTTAATAAAATGAAACCTGGTCACCAGAAGAGGGTGCCAGTGCCAAATCCTTTGGTCATGGTACAATTATTTCCCTCATCAAAGTGAGCATTAAAACGTGCTGTGGCCAAAACGAAGCCAGCACAAAATAAATATTTCAAAGATAAACAGGCAGAGATGCTCACCGGCTCCTTGCCATCCATGGCTTCCAGCCACAGTCTTCTGTTGGACTCCGACAGTGCCTGCAGTGTCATAACGCCATGCCTGGGAAGTTTTAGGAGAAAAGCTGGTCTCAGTATGATGTCATTGCTGTGGGGCCTCTGAACAGACCATGTTTACACTGGCTCATTCTACTATAAAAGGACTAGTGGAACAAAAATAGCTCGTGTGCAAATGCCTGACTTGAGACTGTGTCCTCACTCAGCTCTGTGCTTCACATTTCACTCCCAGTTAAAAGCCGCACATGCCTAATGTTAGCGTGATTCACCTTCTGCACCCAACATGCATTATTTGTCTGTGCACATTAAGAATCTGCAGCCTCCTCGTGTCTTCCAGAATCTCATCAAGGAGATATTTGCAAATGATTTGAAGTGAAGCACTGCTTCAAGTTGCAACTATAAACAATGATCTGGTGACGCTGGAAGACAAAAAGGACTTCACCATTAAAAACATGGGGAAATTAGCATGGAGCTAATTTTATTAGCGTTTGTTACAATTGTGAGATAATTTCAACCAAATTAAAAAGATTGTGAATAGCAAAAAAATCAGGTTTTGAGTTAATATTAATTTATTAATTCACACTTCTGATGCACAAAATATTTTAAAGTATGTTTTAACAAACTATGAGCTGACTATTCTATCCTGCCATGAAAAGCATGTAATCATACCTGTGTTTGTTCGTCTGTTAGCAAAATATCTCATGAAACCCATGACCGATTTTGATGAGGCTCTCGGAAAGTAAACATTGGATGCACATCTACAAATTATTAACTTTTAGAGTCGACCCAATTCAAGATGGTTGCCAGAGCTAATCAACTATGGCAAACACAAAAAAAGGCCGTAAATCTGTCAATTTTACAGAAACTTTACTAAAATTTGGTAAGGTGGTAGCTGAGAGTTACTCTCAACACATAATCTGAGCACCGAGGAACAGATAGTTGAAGATCATAGTTTAAAACGTTAACACTAAATAAAGTCCATGCTCAATAATCCAGGTATACAATCCCAACATTTTTCAGTCAGGTCATCTGGACAGTTTCTTTTTTTTTTTTTTGTGTTGAAACGTTTCACTTTCCATCCAGAAGGCTTCATCAGTCAAGGAAACACACAAAACAACACTTTGATTCTTCCCCCAACAGCTTACTCCAAAGTGGAACAAACCAGTTATGTTGGTGCTAAGATGGTCTCTTTGTCACGCCCCCTCCTCCATTGCTGGCCCTCTTCCTTGTTGACGGTCGTGTCAAACTGGTTGAAAACAACAAAGTCCATGCTCAATTATCCAGATATACAATCCCAACATTTTTCAGTCAAGTCATCTGGGCAGTTTCTTTTTTTTGTGCTGAAACTTTTTGCCTTCGATCCAGAAAGCTTCAGACTTTGTCATTTTGATGAAGCCTTCTGGATCGAAGGTGAAACGTTTCAGCACAAAAAAAAAAAAAAGAAACTGTCCAGATGACCTGACTGAAATATGTTGGGATTGTATATCTGGATTATTGAGGATGAACTTTGTTGTTTCAACCAGTTTGACATGACTGTCAACAAGGAAGCGGGCCAGCAATGGAGGAGGGGGCGTACCAAAGAGACCATCTTAGCACCAACATAACTGGTTTGTTCCACTTTGGAGTAAGCTGTTGGGGGAAGAATCAGTGTTGTGTTGTGTGTTTCCTTGACTGATGAAGCCTTCTGGATGGAAGATGAAACGTTTCAGCACAACAAAAAAAAAACAGAAACTGTCTAGATGACCTGACTGAAAAATGTTGGGTTAACACTAAATGTTGGAGTAAACCGTGTCCGTCTGTTAGCAAAATATCTCATTAAAAACAGGACGGATTTGACTGAAACGCAAAACGAAACATTAGTCACACATCTATAAACTTTCAAGATGGCTGCCACAGCTAATCACTCATGGCATCAACACAGCTTTTCAGATACTGAACTAAACTTTGATATGGAAGTAGCTGAGAGTTACCCACAACACGTGCTTTGAGAGCTAACAAACTTCGCAGTTTTTGGTGAAGCAGCATTGCTGCTAAATTTCACGTTAAATCTTTCGAATTTCGTCAGGGATCCCATACGAAATTTAAATTCTTCACAGTTTCAAAATCTATAGGAATCAAATTATTAGGAATTTGGCTGAATGAACTGTTTGAGCGCGGGATGGCGGGTTCAATCATGGGCAGGCCAAGGGTGTGACAGCATGTTCGAGTTCTAATAAGGACGGATGAACGAGTTTGGAGTTGGGCCTGTGTTGTCTTTATGGTTGCACCCTTTGGGTATTGCAGTGGAAGATAAATGAGTTCCCTGCAAACAAACTGCAGTTGCTGTCCATGCTCAGCAACGCTCACCGGGGTTGAGCAGAGCAGGGCTTAACACTGCTGTCCAGTAATTACCTGCAAAATCTTGCTTGCTTTATAAGCCGCGGTATAGATCTTAGTGATTAGCTCACATGAAGCCTTCATAATGGACAGCTTAGTCAGCTGAGGTCGTGTTATTCAGCAGAGAGCTTTGTGCAGGTTTGTGATCTTATTGTGCTCTACAGGATGGTTTATTAGGATATAGAATTGCAGATTTGACACATAAATATAAATCAACAGTGAAATCCTTTCATAAAGTAAATAGATTTTCAACTTCTAAAAGAGCCGATTTAGTAAATCAAAGCTCATATGAATGTCATTATCTTTTCGCTCATATTGATCAGGTGAGGCGGTGAGAGAGGGCACCAGCAGTAATTAGATTTGAATGGAAGAGGGGGTGCACGCATGCAGCACATGCAAAATGCTCTGAAAGGGCAGCGCTGGTCTGGTCACATACCGGACTTTACAGAAAAACTGAAGCGGCTTGAAAAGAGTTCCACGGTAGATGTCATTTCTACAATGACACGGACACAGAGAGAAGACGGCATGGCTTCAAAACAGATAATAAATATTGGACGTTGCAGACATTCAGCAAACAAGAGCTTGTTGACGGAGAGGGGGACACGGAGAACATGCAGGACACAAATGGAGCTCGAGACTTCTAACGTTGGTTAATCGAGGCTTTGACGACGTTAGCCTAGGCCTGTCACGATAAACAATAAATCAATCGCATGATAAATGAAAATTATCAACCTCATTTTCATTTATCGGCTTTATCGTTTCTTCGTCTCTCTCTTTAAACTCTTTAAAATCCATGTCAACCGTCCTAAATCACGTTTTTGGATCGTTAAAAGCAGCTAAGCTGAGAAGCTAAGCTAGGAGCTAAGCTAACAGGCCGACCTCAGGGAAAACTAACTCCGTCTTGTCGAAGCTCCAAAATTCACGGTTGAAACCTGTGCCTTTGTGTAAAAAGTTATTTTTCTCTACAAAAAGAAGCTGAGAACTTGTTTTACTGATTTTCTATTAAAATCTTTGTGTGAAAAATGCTATTCTAAAGAGCTCAAACCACACCGAGCATCCGCCATTTTGAGAACCCAAGAGAGACAGCCCATGTCACGTCAAGGGGCCTCCCTCCCATTTTTCTTAAAGAGAGACGCTGCTCGCTCCCTCACTATCCATCCTTCGGTTCAAACAGTCTTATACTGCCATCCGGTGGTCAAAAAAAGGTACTACATGCAAAAATAACCATTTTTTTTCTTAAATTTGACAATAATTAGTAATTATTGTCAAATTTCAAACCATATTATTGTTTATTGTAATAATTTCTGAGACAATAAATTACCCAGCAAAATTTGTTATCGTGACAGGCCTACGTTAACCCAACCTGAATTCGTCTCGCTCTTTCAAACGGGGTGTAGGAGTTAAAGAGAAAGACAAAACACATGAGAACAAAACATTCCACATGCAGCTCACTGATCGTAGAAAGAAAGTTGTACAGTATTTGAAAAATAAAAAAAGGAGTTTTATATAAATCCTTACCTATAACAGGGTAAGTAACACTATTTTAATGATTACCAACTATTTTACATAGTACATGATTTATTAAGATCAAATGGAAAACAAAGCATGGATGTGAAGGACGCAGCATTAAAATTACATTATGTTTATAAATGTAATATGCACAAAAGACACTATAGTGGAGTTGTGTCACGGACCTTCCAGCCACTTCTATGTCAAAGCAGAAACGCTTGTCGATGGAGTCAGTTTTCCTCCGAATGCACGATTTGAGCTTGAAAATCTCGGGCTGACTCGGAACAAGGCCGTTCTAAAAACAGAAACAAAAAAAAGACAAAAAAACAAAATAACAACAACAACAACCCACATTATTCATCACAACAGCAACAATATGAAATTTGAGATAATGGAGGTTTTATCCCAAGTTTTGTGTAAATGAAACTAAATGTTAGTCAGATAAAAGAATGCTGAGCATTGAATGATCTTGTTGAAGTTTGCTAAAAAAGCAGTGAGTTATTAAAACTAGAAAGTTCCTGGAGAAATGTTGATGGGGACTGCCACATGGAGGCCATTATAAATTTTTGATTTGTGTTGGGGTTTGCGCTCAGCTACCACCTTACCGAATTTCAGCGTAAAATGGCAAAATATCAACAAGTTAAAGTCATTTTTTCTTTTAAGCTATAGTGGCCATCTTGAATTTTTTAATTTGGATTCAGTATGTGATGGGGAAGGTCCTCAGCTATAACCACACCAAATTTCAGCTTAATATCTCTACAAATGGCTGATTTGCAGTATTTTTCCTTTTTAGCTCTTGGATATTTGATTTGCAACCAGTCTATGAAAAATGCCTAATAAAAACGGCGTCTTTGTTTGCAAATTATGTTGCCATGGTAACTCGAAACGCCAATAAAAGGAATGAGCCGGTCATTCTGATATAACATTTGTGGGGTTACACGTTGCGCTTCAGACCACATTAAAGATGATGGAAGAGTAAGATATAAAGTTAAGAAACCCTTGGCAGGTGGATAATAATAGGTGGCTGCCAAATAATAGGCAGTCCCCAATTAAAGGCTAACATGAATACAATTTTAGCCAAATACTAAAAGTGCCAGAACAGTAGCTATAGGCAGTAGCATAAGAAAATAAAAATAGAGCAGAAAGTATCCTGACGCATATTTCAAAGAGAACAATGTTTCAGAAGGAATCGAGTTTGTTTTTAATGAAAATTTATTTTTAAATAAATGCTCATAGTTTGCAAAGTATAAGCTGCAAAAACAAAAAGTCCCAGCACCCTACTCTTGAGGTCAACATTTGGACGGACACATTTTTTTTAGATAGCACAAAGTCTGCAGAAGTAGCCAGACTGCAAAACCTATACACAGAAAAACAACAATGTAAATGCTGACTCAGCATTCACACAGTGATTGTTCATTTAGAACATATCCATGCAGAGACGTTACTGATAGTTTTTTATACATAAAAGGTCAAATAATTGGGGTTAATGCATTTGAAGTGTTCGATAATATATACAGTCAGCTCATCTGGTGTTTAAGTTTTCCCTTTTTGTTCTTTGTAGATTTTGTCATGTTAGTACGGTAGTTTTCTGTTTTTTTTTCTTGCAGTCCGCCTTGAGTTAACGAGTCATTTGTTTTCTGTGCCACTTCAGTAGCTTTGACGGTTTTCCTTTCTCTCCCTCGGGGGGAGAGAAACACGCAGGCTTTTTGTTTCACCCACACAGATTACGCTTGCTGTTTTTTTTTTTTTTTTTTATCTCTCAGCGTTTATCATATGAATCTACAAGCGAAGCGAAGCGAGTTGAACTGCACTGAATTACCTGCTTCCCAGCCGACTTGTTTTCAGCGTTGCTCATGGTGAAAGTCTTGCTGCCTTTCTCGTACGTGCAGTAGTGACGTGTCCAAGTGCATCCCAGAGGACCTGAGGGTTAAATACAGCGTAAGCTTGAACTATTTGCCTGAATCAAAAAGCACCCGGAAAGACTTCTAATAAATCAATGGCTAATTAAACGGTTATAAATCAAAAGTTGTTTATAACTGCTGATAAAAATCTATTATTTGTGGCACCACCCCTCCTACATGCATACACATTTCAGAGCACATCAAAGTGAATCTGTAAATTAGATGAAGAATGAGATTTGTGTGAGAGGATCTTTTCTAAAGAGGCTGGGGAAAACTCGACATGTTAATGGTAACGGATGTAAAACCGTGCACCTCTAATTGAAGTGGGAGTGAGAGGCCTGGGAGACTCACGCTTCTCTTGGACGTACAGGAAGCCCTCCATCGTCCACTGGCCTGGGGGCTTGTAGTCCTGATCTGCAGACCTTATCCTCTGCATCAGCTTCTCCACTTCCTGCTTGGTGCTCACAAAGTTGTTTCGTGTCTGTGCATAAAACAAATGGTGATGTTAAAGGGATATCGTGGCCATCCTAAAACTGATCTATCAATGGTACGTTTTCATGCACGATGTTAATCATAAAGCACGGAGTATGGAGAAAAGGGCAGAGGTTTCTGTCCATGCTAGGCTAATGGCTAGCCAAACAACTTCAATAATTTTTTTTAAGTTTAGTTTTTCATGCTTATAAAACAACTGTTTCTATACCAGTATCAAATACCACTATGTTATCTAATTTAAAAACCTCTACGCTTTTGCATGACGCCATTTGTCGACCCTCGTTGCAGAGTGAAAAAATATCCTCCCTCCGTCCGTGCATATTGTCAGCATGGTAACTTGGAAAAATAAGTGAGGTACTGACTTTCATTTTGTTGTATGGCTACATCTAGATATAACTTGTTTCCTCAGATGGTTGGGGGTGGCCAGTGGATGGTCAAAGATTAATCCATCAATGGCCACTGCCATTGCACCTGGTGGATAAAATTGCTCCCTCTGCTCTATGGTTCCCAACCATGGTCCTCCAGGAGCATTCCTGTGCATATTTTAGTTGTTTCCCTGCTTGAACACGATAGTGTTCTTCCAGGACCATGGTTGGGAACCACTGCTCTATAGGATCCGTCATTCTGCACTACCCCCCCCCCCCCCCCCCCCAAAAAAAAAAATCCCACTTCCTCTTCTTATACAGTGTAACCCCTTCCCATTGAATCTCTTGAACCAAAAACACTAAGGTGTACTTGCATTCCTTGTTCAACTCCAGTCCAGAAAAACCCTTTTCTTAACTAAACAACTACTGAGTAATATGAGTGATATCATGGCTGACAAGGTGCTAACTACTGATAAGTATTGGACAGAACATGTCTTTAAAAATTACCAAACTACCCCTTCAAGTTGTTATTGATGACACAAACCCTAACCCCAACCCCAACCCTACCAAAATATTGATTAAAAAAATGATTTTATTAATATAGTGGAAAAATATACTTGGCTAGAACTAAGATCAAGATGTGGTGTCAAAAAGGTTAGCACAAGACTGTTTTACAGCTTAAAGCAGAGTGCTGAGACAACCTTACCTTTCCCTTTTTACTATTAGAGCTTCCTACATCAAGACATGGAGAGAGGGTTATAGAGTGAAAATTGTCAGAGCAACGCCACTGACATTTTGGGTCAGAGAAAAATTTGGACCCTCAGGCTGAAAGCATTGAGGTCGCAGTGTTGGAAGCAAGGGGCATGGCAGTGGCTGTAGTTTTATTTTCAACTCTTAAGTGTTTTTTGACACAGTGCCATTAAATGGCCTGAAGTAACAGCCTGCAATGCTACACTGAAAACATCTATCCTCTGTGCAATTGCACAGTGGAAAGTCTGCTTGGTATATCAGGGGTATGATAAACTGTAGTGTCTGATTATGTGGCTGGTCGCCTTGTTGAGACTTACATTCTGTAGGTTGAACTGGAGTTGCTGTTTGTATGGGTCAAATTCATGAGCCAGCTCATATCCTTCATGGTAGAACGTAAACAAACCCTGAAGAAAGGCCAGGAGCTGGAAGAGAAATATTAGTAAACTGGGAGGTATTTAAATAATTTACATGGAATGATTTTTTAAAATTTAAATAACTAGTAAAATTGAGAATCCCATCAAGTATTCCTTTATTTCATCATAATGATAAAAAAATGAATCTGTTGCAAATAAATAAACTTTCAATATAACACTACTATTGATTGATTAAGATTGGTTTAAATTAACATCTCTCTGGCAGCACTCAGTTCATTCAGATCAGATTCTTCAATCCAATCTCCTCTGGAGTCCCTCAGGGCTCCGTCCTTGAGCGTCTTTCATTCATAATTATCTCCTAACCCTTGGTCATCTCCTCCGTAAATACAACATAAACATTGCTACATAGATGACACCCAGCTGTACATTTTCACCAAGCCTATCTCTTCGCGACCTCCCACCTGCATTTGCGACTGCAAACAATAAATCCAAATCTGATTCTCCTCCAACTTCCAGCAGTTAACAATGTGACAGATTCTTAATAACAACTGACAAAACTAGAATGATTTCCTGCCCAAAGGCAGTATCCTCCTTGACAGCACTCTCTCATTCCAAATGCCCATTAATAATACAATCATGTTTGTATACTACACTCATCCCTCACACCAAATAATACAGCTGTTTTGGTGCATGCACTGGTCACGCCAATCCAAATAACTGTTAAAGTCCTTCTCTTTGGTTTAACTCCAAACGTTGCTTCTTCAACTTGGGTCAGCCCAGTGCTCTGTTGCAAATGTTATGACCAGAACTCCTTCCTTTAATCACATCGTTCTCATTCTTCAGCAGCTTCATTCATCCTGTTAAATCTTGCATGGACTATAAAATTCTGCCTCTCATTTTGTCAACCATTTACAGCCTTGCTCCTCAGCAGTTTTTGAATCTTTTGCAAATTACCACAGTAACCTGTGCACTTAGGTCTTCCATTCATCTTACTGTTCCCCGAGTCTGTCTGATCACTGCGGGGGTCCTAGCTTTCAGCCACTCTGCCCCCTGCTATGGGAATTCCCTTCCACTTGACATTCTGTACCTCTGAGACTTTCTCCATTGTCAAATCCCACCTGAAAACAGACCCGTTTAATTTGGCCTATTCACTCTAATTTTACACAGGTTCCTTTAAATAAAATATAGTAACAATATTACTATAACTACATTACTTCATTCGCCCCACTCTGGGCCCATGAGCAAGGCCCTTAACCCCACCATGTGCTCCCTAAACAGGTCTCTCTTGAAAATGAGTTCTCGTGGCTCAATGAGACTAACCTGGATAAAAAAAAGGCTAAATGAAAAAAAATATATATATACTTATGTGCTATTAGTCATTTTATCATTTACGTTTAATTAAAAGTGAAGATAAAATGCTACTGCTACATTTTCTATGTGTACTTCTTATCACTTTCAGGGGAAACTTGGTGAATTTAAACATTCACAGCTGCTGAGGCTTTTAACGCTGCAGATAAACTGAAGGCAGGGGGAAAAAAGTTTCAAAAAGTTGTTGCTTTTTATAGCTGACAGATATTGATCTTACTTTCTGTATAACATACAAACATCCTTGACTCTTGTAGAAAAAAAAAGCATCAGTAGTGTAGCTGGCGGAAAAACTGATCTCATCTCAAGCACAGAGGATCCCACAAACATCCAGCTGCACTCAGTCAAATCCTCAGACACAACCGCTGATTTGATTTCTAGGCTGAGGTTTGGTATATCAAATGAACAAGGATGAAGCACCTTATCTGTGCTCTGATTCATCACAGGCGAGGCTGAGCCCTGTCATTTCCCCCCACCACTACCTGCAGGCAGGAGATTTGCATTTCTGGCCTGGGTTGTGGATGAGTTGCCAGTGGATGTAAACAAATGGGAAAAGGGCCTTTAAAACACACACTTGGCCCACATTTCACATATTTTAATATTAAATACACACACAAAAAAAAATCAATATTATTTTCCAACTTTTAAGACTTGAAATTGTATGTGTGCATGGAGTTTTATACAATCGTGTGCAGTTTTGAGTGTATGCCACTTAAACTAAAGCTAAAAAAACCCCAAAACAACTGGTGCCTCTTTGTGCATTTGCAACCAGCCGAGCCAGAACGATTTTTAAAAAAAGCTTGCGTTTTCTTACCGGCTCGACAAACTCAAATTTCTTCTTCTCTTGCACTTCTTGTATTTTGAAAACGTACTCGAGGGACGCATCATAAAAGAGTTGTCTCTCCTTGTCAATCTGCATGTCGGCCTGAGAACGAACAAACAAAAAGCGCTAGTGCCTTCAGAAAGACACGGGTCAACCTGGGAACGTGCACGGAGTTAATGCCTGCATTTCTGCACAGAAAGCGGTGTGCACTGAGGGAAGTGAAGATCAAAGAAAAGTGCACACACACACAAAGGTACCACACAATATAGCTGTTTTTTTTCTTCTTTCTTTTTTGAAGACACTCAGCCGACCATAAAACAGAATCATTGAAATACATGTAAGGGATGAGGAAATTTGTTTTGGTTTTACCTCCTGCAGATACGCCTCTTTCTTCTTGGATGACACGTTGAGGTGTCTCTCAAGTGTGGAGTAGTATTTCTCTGTTTCCTTATCAAATTTCTTCTTTACCTCCTAAGACACACAAAAGGCTTACACATTACTTGGGAGGAAGAAAAAAACAACTCTATCTTTGATCTGTGGCGTGAGACCGAGTTACCACTAGGTGGAGGCCTAGCTACAGTACATTTTCCCAAGCTGCCTGCCGCCTTTCATTTCCAGCTCTGTCAATAGATTATTGTAGGTCATAAAAGTGGCATACGACATGTGTAATGACAAGCCAGCAATGTCAGCATCTCTGTGTTTAATCGATAAAGAGAGCCCCGGTTGGGCACACAAGTCCAAAGCAAAACACATAGCACGGTAAATCACAAACAGAATAATGCATCTAGCACAGAGAGAGACAAGAGCAACTGCATGCTGTTAACATTTCCCATCCCTTGATATGCACTCCTGTCTACCTCCAGGAATAAGTCAAGCTCAACGGTCACAAGTCCCAGGATTCGGACAGTGTTTCAGAAGGCTTTGAGAAAGACGCAGGAAATGTGCTGTTCATGGCAGATTCACATCTAGACCAAGAGATTTAACATTCTTCCCCAAAAGAGAGAGAGAGAGAGAGAAAAGGATCCGGTTTGCAGGCCTTAATCAAACTCAACCCAAGCAGGGAGAGATCCTCTCTGGATGAGGGCATTCATGTGTCTCATCTGCAAGTATGACCTCCAAACCCAGGCTTAGTGCTTACGTCTCTGCATGGAGAGAAGGAGGACAGACACAGGGGTGCAGACAGGATGGAGAAAGTGCAAAGAAATGTCCACTGGAAGCAGACCCTGCTTTTTTGTTTTCATCCTCACAGCCCTGAAATTTAGCAAGTTAAATCTACCGGATAGTGTTTTGTCTCAACAACTCCCACTGAGGAATTCATAACAAGACACAGCAATGCTCCTACATACCTACAGCACCAACAAAAATCAATATATAATCTCATGTAGTGGCATCCTATTTCTATTTTTTCTTATAATGTCTGGCCCAGAAATTATCTTTTTAGGAGCAAGCGGAAAAAATATAAAAAAAATCCATTCACTATGTGCTTCATTTTTAAAACAAAGAAAAAAGTAAACCGCATAATAAACATCTGCTTAAAACACACAGACAAGAATTCAGTTTTCCCAAAGAGATTCATTTCATTCTAAGGAACAAACAGCAGTTTACCATCTATTTTTTCTTTTCTTCCTTTTGCCTCTGCTGGTGAGGTGATATTATTGTGGTACTTGGTGAGCACAACCAAAACCCTCAGGAAAACACACACACATGCACACACACTGGGGATCACATTAAATTAAGAGCTTTAGCTGAGCCCAACAGTCACAGCAGGACTCTCCAATGCACCGCTGACCAGATGATCATGCCAGAAAACACTGAAAATAAAACAAATATATATCTTCTGTACACCTGGAGCAACTCTTTCACAGTTTCAAAGAGCGCGCAGTGACTCAGTGCAATGAACTTGTGAGGCAGAGTCAGTCTGATGAAGTCACCCATAAAATAAAGTTGTGTTTTGATCCTAGCAGGACATGTATAAGCTGGTATGACTGTTGGTATCTCAGCAGAACAGTGTTTTTGATGGCTTGTTTGTGTCCACATCTTTATTTACAGCATTTTTGTGCAGTGAGAACAGAAGATGGGTGAATGGATAGCATGTACTTTACAGAAAGTTGGCGCAAAAGAATAAAAATACTTTGAAGCTCAACAGGTGGGGACAGATACTACAGTATGTATTTTATAGTTAGGCTTGCATCCACATGGAAACAGCACTTTAAGCCCCTGAACTGTATTTTTTAAACTTGGTTCCAAAGTGAGAAAAACTGAATGCCATTTATGTTCATGACAATCAAACTGGGTATACTGGGTCTACTCTACCTGTTTGTATTTGTATTTGCTTCTATCTTAACATGTGTTTTTCTTTTTTTGTCTTTCCTCCTATATAAAGTACACCTGGACCTGCCGTTCTTTGTTTGTTTCGACTTCCTGTTTCTCTCAAACCCAGATGGTTGAAGCAGATGGCCGCTTGTCCTGAGCCTGGTTCTGCTGGAGGTTTCTTCCTCTTATGAGGGAGTTTTTCTTTTCCACTGTTGCCATTGTGTTTGCTCAGGACGGGAGACCACGACAAAGTGAAGAACACAATCTAGTGGTTTCCTTAGGTAGAGACTTTTTACTAATTAGCCAACAAAGTCCATGCTCAATAATCGAGGCATACAATCCGACAATTTTCAGTCAGGTCATCTGGACAGTTTCTTTTTTCTTTTTGTTTTTTGTGCTGAAACGTTTGTTGGTTTTGAACCAGACTGACACGACTGTCGATGAGGAAGAGGGCCAGCACCGGAGGAGGGGGCGTGCCAAAGAGACCATCTTAGCACCAACATAATTGGTTTGTTCCACTTTGGAGTAAGCTGTTGGGGGAAGAATCAGTTTTGTGTTGTGTATTTTTGATTGATGAAGTCTTCTGGATGGAAGATGAAACGTTTCAGCACAAAAAAAAAAAAAAAAAAACTGTCCAGATGACCTGACTGAACATTGTTGGATTATACTAATTAGCTTTTTTATGTATGTGAATGTTTCTGTTCAGTGTCCTGAGGTGACTTCTGTCGGGATTGGCACTATATAAATAAACTGAATTGAACTGAATTAATGACTGAATATATATGTTTGTGCTGCAGAGACTGGTTTTCAACTACAGCAAAACCTTCATGCAATGAGCAGATTAGGTGGATAAACAATAACAGCAGACCAAAAACCCTTATACTATTACACCAGATCCTCTAGGTTTTATCACTTTATTGAACTGTTATTAATACAAAAAAAAAAATACAAAAAACAACAACAACAAAAAAACAACTTTATATATATATATATATATATATATATATATATATATATATATTTAAAATGTGGAAAAAGAAACAGTTTAAAAAGACTAACAATTGTGTATAATAATTTACCCAGCTATCCCTCTGGTTAAATCTTCCTATAACTTCTTTATGTCAGCAGATTATAGCTGACACGACTCCCAGTAAATATCATTTTAAAGTGACAAAGAAGAAGTTACACTTTGTCGTCAGTCCACAAAACATAAATCTGTTTTTGCTCCTGCATTCACTAACCTCAACTTTTTGTTTTCATGCTCACATATTGAAACCTCTGCTCCTCAGTTCTGGTGTACAGTAGTCCCTCGCTACTTCGCGGTTCGACTTTCGCAGACTCACTCTTTGGAGGTTTATGAACGATTGTCAACTTTAACATTAATCACGTGATTGGGACATTATGCGATAAAAAGTTAATGAAAATAAACTTTGAACAGGTGCTGCTATTTTGTAGTTTTCTTTCAGTAAGCCTACATTGTAAGGCTAGTCAAAAAAAAACTACACTACCCAGAAGCCAGCAGTGCTTCCGACCGCTGTTTTCTGCCAAATGGAGGGAAACTTTTGCAACGCAAATCTAGACTATCTATTAAACTCCTAGAACTGACAGGAAACTCACAAATAATCCTGAAGCTTCATGAAGCTCAATTTTCCACGTACACATCAACCTGGACGGGGCGGTGGGCTTCGTCGATGCAGGGTTGGTCTGCAGAACCGGAACTGAGCAGCTGGTCTGAAGAGCTGATAAGTAAAATTTTGCAGTACTGTACAGTACATATACGTATGTCGTTAAAATTACGCGGGTTTAAGAATTTAGAACATTACAAGAGAGCGGGAAGGGTTTATAAAGCCTTAAAATATATATAAATACTTTTACTTTGCACTTTTGCACCTATTGCAGCTGAGTGAAGCTGACACCCCACCCACTTCCAAAATTAAAGCAAATAGTCTGAATGGTTAGTGCTCCGTTAGTGCTTGTTTGTGCCGTTAAAATTTTCGTTTGTGCTTCTTTGGTTTAAGAGATATTAAAAGTTATAATTTTGACCTGTAATAGACGCTCAGGCGCGTTCACGCGTCCTCAGGCGCGTTCACGCACACGTCAGGGCAGAGCGTTTACTTAAGGCGGGCGCGCGCTCCGGCTGTAATTGTGTGGATCAGATTTGACAACAAAAACACAACTGTCGTAAATGTTTCCTTTTAGTACCTGATTGCGGTTATAAAGGACGCGTGAACGCGCCTGAGCACGCGTGAACGCGCCTGAGCGTCTATCACAGGTCAAAATTATAACTTTTAATATCTCATAAACCAAAGCAGCACAAACGAAAATTTTAACGGCACAAACCAGCACTAACGGAGCACTAACCATTCAGACTATTTGCTTTAATTTTGGAAGTGGGTGGGGTGTCAGCTTCACTCAGCTACCTATCGCAGGGGTTGGACGTTACCACCGCAAAAATCGAGGGACTACTGTATATTCATCACAGTGTTACATACAGAGCTGGTACAGTTACATCGTTTGGGTTGTTTTCAGTTTCTGTGTGGATGAAAACATTTCTACAAAGGTGTGTGTTTAAAAGGAAAAAAAAAGAGCTTTTTGGAAAAACGGCATTCCCATGTGGACGGGGCCTGTTACCAGCACAGGAGAGCAATCATCAAGTGATCATCAACAGAATGAATGCACTTGCCAACACAGTGAAAGTGCACAGAATGCACATGAACCTACCATTTGGGAGATTTCCTTATCTGATTGCTTTGTACTCACTCATGAATAAATCAGATGCAACAGGAAAATATTCAAATGCAGATTGCTTTGTAGTGGAATTTATAACCGGTGAAGCCTCATGCTGCTGTTTGGAGACTTTAAATGGCAGCTGTATCGGTGGGAAACTTTGTTAAATTCTGAAACCAGAACTCTGGAAGAAAAATAAACAAGAACAAATGCTGTCCTCTCGTTTTTTGTTCGGTTTTTCAGAAATAAAGATGTTGAGAACTCATACAAAGGCTGAGAAATATGGACACTGGCAAGTTTTCACACTGGACATAACGAGCCGCAGGGCCATCCTTTCTGAGCCTTTGAACACCATGGCAACAGATGTAAGCTGCAAGGGAAGTTAAACATGTCTTTGTATGTGTATAGGCCTTACACAATGGATGAATAGA